ACGAATACATATGATTGCACCATTTCATTAAAGGGAAAATGCACTGGGTGTCAACTATTGCGGTCTAGCTACTGTTTGCTCAACTTCTTTGTTGAACTCTTCCATTACCACCACCCAGCTATCAGGGATGTGTACATGTTTACACGCGTAGATGTAGAACCACACTTGGTGCATGCAGCCATCGAGCCATAGGTCTCCAACAGGAAGGCTCTGAAACAGGTCTTTGTCACTCATTTTCAAGTTGACCGGCCGCTTGTGGCGGAGATGTTCTGGAAACCCCTTTCGCCCTTCAAAAAGGTCACATAAGCGCCTGGCAAATCCCTCGGGGTAGCACCTAGGTAGAAACACAATCAGGGTTCCCAAACATATAGTTGAGATGTCATTGGTCCAAAGAGTTTGAGGGTTTAAGATTGGGACGCTGTTTCCTTAAGTTCAGGGGTGCCAGCAAACTTCTTGGCGCCCTCCTTGGTCACAATTTTGCCTCGGCAAATTAAAAACCTCTAGTCGCCAGCTCCACAGCCAAGGTGGTTCCAATGTCAAATTCACGCATTAGGCCCGGGCGTACAGTCTTCAGGGTAGTGTTGGCAAGCCGGAACTCTTTCTTCAGCTTGCCAAGATCCAGCCCACTAATCCAACTTCCATTGGACCAGCACACCGTCCGTTTTGGAGATTTTCCCCCCCAGTAGCTGCATCCAGAAATGACTTGCGTAAGCCTTGGAAACAAACAATATAACATATATATAGTCAAGAAGTCATTCATATATAATGCAAACAAGGGACGTAGCAGGTATGGTTGACGAATCGATCAAATCTTGGGGAGCTGATCAGAATGGATTGGGAAGGTTGTTCAAGTACCCAATACGTATGCTTTGCCAGGCATAGGAAAAGGATCAAGGTGAGCCTTAGATGGCAATGTATATATGACTCCAACCCCGATGTACATCAACTAGTACGACAAAGTGTGCATTCGAGTTTCTTCGCTGCTGTGTGGTTGCCATTGTGTACAAAAGTATACTGAGCATGACCATGTGGGTTCACCACCGTACGAGCTGTAGTGCCACGGCTCGGAACTCCCCAACTGCTACAGTCCGGCCCCATCAAATTTACTGCCTCCGGGAACTCGCACAGAACAATCCACACCACCAGCCTCAGTCGGGCGCAATAGAGCACTGGGCAACTCTGGGTAGTTGGACACCCTCAAAGCTTAAACGCTGACAGTAGGCAAGAACCCTGGTGGTGACAGAAAGTCCATCGTACGTTGACCGGGCGAATACATGCTATCCACGGTGGCACAAGCATAGCCCCTCTCAGACCTTGGCTGAAATGACCTTGACCTTGTGGACCCTCTTCAAACTAGCTTTCCCAAGATGGAGCTTTGAGCAAAATAAGACCCACTCCAAAAACGGCAAGTCTAGCCACCAAATCTTTGTTGCGTTTGCAACCCCAGCAAAGAGGTCTAAGAACTGAAAGCGAGGAAACACAGCCGGAAGATTCTTGCTCCATAGCACCATCAAAGTGCAAGCAATCATAATCTGGCCGGTTCGATCAGGTGTGCAGGAAGTACATACTAGCTAGCTTCAACCAAACATACTGGAAGCTCTCAAAAGACAGGATCGAAGTTCCAGCCTTTGGTGCACCAAGTTGGATTAGATTCACCACTATAGATTCGTCCATGGTGGAGGAATCCCGGTACTAAAGCTTTAGCTGGGTGAAATGGCTTCAGATTCAGACCGAGCAATAGGAAAAGAATTAGAAGGATCACTGTCACATCAAGCTGCTGACATGCAGGCTGGCAAGCACAGCGGGCTCGCCTCCAAATTTGAGGGCCCACAGCTCAGAACGTGGCATTGCTCAGCACCTGTCACGTGACAGCACGTCATTTCATACATATATATATCGTATATAAACGTTCCAAAGCTATGCGCACAAGAAAACAATTGTACAGAGCAGGCTAGATGACTGGCTAGATATTCTTTTCCCTCGATCGTTTCCAAACCCCCGTAGCACGTGTTGCAGCACTTGTACATGGCAGGTACAGGTGTTGTTTCACACCCTCCACGCACATACGAATCTGATCATATCACGTACGAGTGTCTGACTCACGTAGCATTCCCCACAAAAGCTGGCATCCTGCAGCACCCAGCTCAGCTAGTTGGTGTTGTGGTAGGCCTGCGACAAATCGAAGCCCTTTGCTAACCATTCATGCTTGTTTGTTTATGCATCATGGTTTAAGCAGTATTGTAGCTATAGCATTGGAGCCAAGAAACTTCTTTGGCCCTTTTCAAGACCTCCTCTTCACTGCAGCCCTCTGCCGTTGCCTTCCGCTTTGCGACATGGTATGCGCTGCTTTTTCTGCTGGCTTTGGCTTTCTTCTCAGCAGCGGCGTCCTCATCCGTTGCTCCTGTCTTGCTGGCTGCTTTCTCTCCATCCTTCTCCACCTCTTTCTCACTCCTCTCCGCCTTCTTTCCACGTGGCTTCCTCACATTTGCATCTTCCACTTTCTCAAGTGTTTTCTTTGCCCTTGGCTTTGACCCAGAACTTGCCTTTGCAGTCTCTGCGCTCTCGACCTTTCTCTTCCTAGTCTGCTGGTCCTCCTCTGTTTTCCTTCTTCCTGCCTTCTTTTCTTCTGTGGCCTTTCCACTGGTCATCTCCTTCCCTTTCCTTTTCTTTGCCTTCTCATCATCGGTTTGCTTGGCCACCTTCTTGCTCTTGCTTTTTGGACTTGCACCCTCGATCTTGCCATCATCTTGCTTGTTCTTCACTTGACGCTTCTGCTTCTCCTCATTTTTGCTAGCTTCAGTCTCTTCATTCTGTTCTTGCGTCTTCCGGGTCTTTTTCACCCTTGAACCCTCGCCTTCACCTTTGCTGCGCCTTCCTTGGCCTTCTTTTGCTTGGCTCCTCTCTGTCTTTCCTTTCCCTTTCTTAGCGTTCTCACTTGTACCTGGTTCCTCCTTCCTTGTCCCAGTCCTCTTCCTTGTTGCAGCCGTGGTATGTTTCTCATCTTCCTTCTCCTCTTCCTCTTCTTCCTCTTCCTCCTTTTCCTCATCTTCTTCCTCCTCCTCCTCTTCCTCTTCACTATCTTCATCATCCACCTTTCGTCCTCTGCCACGGCCCCGCCCTTTGCCTCGGCCACGGCCCCGGCCCCTTCCACGCCCTTTCTTCACTCCCCCTTCTTCATCATCCTCCTTTTTGCCAGTCTTCTTTGTTTGCTCTTGTGGGGAAATCATCTTAAGCTTCTCAATACCCTCAGGGCGATCAGACAAAAGTGCTGCTGCACGCTCAGCTTGCCATGCCTCAGCCTTAGCCTCACTGCCTTTTCCCTTGTCTTTGTCTTCTATCCCTACAGCCTCATCCTTTCTTTCCACGTCTTCCTTGGGAGCGGCGAGTTTCGGGGTCTCACCATCAGCCTTTTGCTGATCCACCTTTGGATCACTTGCCTTCGCCTCCTCTTCAGCATTCTGGGCTTTTATCTCAGCCTCAACCGCTTGCATCCCACTTTCTTGATCTTTTCGAGTCTCACTTTCTTCCTCCTTTGGAGTTTGAGTTGGAACCTCCTGAGTCTGACTCACATCCTCCTGAGTCTGGCTATCCTCCTGCTCGGTTTCTTCAAGTGTCTCGGCTGCTGTCTCCTTACTTGCCTCAGGTGCTGTCACTTCTGGTTTCTTGACCACTGGCTCGCCACCTGCTTTCTCTTGGTCAGTCATCTTCTCAACCTTTGGCTTCTCCTCCTGGTCCTGCTCAGTCAATGTTGCGGGGGCATGTCGTTGGGAACTTAAAACATACGAGCTAGTGGATCATACATACTGCATGTAATTACTCCTGGCCTCCACGAATTTCAACTTTTTTTGGCACCAAAATCCCAGTAGCGTCCAGGCTTGGTGATGGGACAAAGTCCTGCAAATGGTTTAGGCTTCAAAATCACTTGATGTAAGACAGAAACCACAATCCTGCGTAGAGGGAAGTCGGGAATGGACAGAGAAGGCATCATGTGGCAAAGTGTCCACTGCGTCGATGTCCAAGCCTCAACCAAGAAAAAGTAAAAAACAGTGGGATCAAGTTTAACCCCCACCACACCACACAAGTACACAAAAGCACCTTTGCACATCATCATGCCTAGGAACTAGGCATGCGGTCACTGGAAGCAGGAACTGTTCGGTTTGCCAAAGACTGCACTTCAAAAAGCATGAGCGCTTGCTGTTGGTCCTGAAGGTCCTGGAGGAGCTCCATCTCAGAGAGCATTTCCTCCTGGGCTTTCAAAAAGTCATACTCTGCCTGTAGAGTCTCAAAGTCTTCCGGCTTTGAATCGTTCACTGATTCAACCGGGACAGAATTCTCAATAGTCTCAACAGACTTCGTGGCAGGTTGGTCCACTAGTGGTTTAGCACTACTTGCTTCAGCCTTCAGCACTGGTACACAGGGCTGCGTGACCAAAGCCATCAGGCTGAAGGAGATAGCTCCACAATCCTTGCACTCAAACGATTTCTCAACCGAGTGGACACGATGCTGGTATGTTTTCTCTGCACTGTCCAGCTCATCAAGATCGGATTTCTCCTGGAAGTGGGCACATATGCATACGCATGTTCACATGGGGAACTGCAAGTACGCGGTCAGCTTGCATGCATTTCAAAAAGAACTCCTTCGGCTTTGGTGTCTCTTCATGATCGGCCAAGGTCAAGCCTTCTCCTCCTGAATGCTCGACGGCGCGGCCTGCGGGCAAGGGAGTGCAGGAGGAGTGGTAGCAGATTTTGTTGTACCAGGCCTACTTCCAGGGAATCATCCACGCATTCATCCTCTGCCTGCAGGATGACAGGTAAGAAATGAACAACAAAAGGGTACCGTGACTAATTTTGATAGCCATTTGAATTGCTCCAAGTTGCTTCCGGATCCTGTTCACTTTCAGATGCTTCGTCGCTCGAAAAGTCCTTGCTATCACCTGAGGTACAAACAAACCCAAAGGAAACCTGTAGATTGGGAATGGCGCCCTCAGTACATACATAGGCCTAGTCACGGGGGTTGAAAGGCAAGGGGATTCCACTTTCCTCATAAATCTCACACATGAGCTTCTCCCTCGGGTAGTGGCCCCTCCGAGCTGCCCGGTTGAACTCTGTGACCAATCGGCGAAGAATCCACGCTTGGGCCCTGATGGTGTCACCTGGGATGGAGGCAGAACAGGTCTAGCTATCAATTGACATATCAAGTCAGAGTGTGGAATTGGTACATGCACTGCACTCGATCTGTGCAATCAAAGTAACTGGCCACTGGTGGCTTACCTCTAGGTCTTGCGAAAGCAAAAAACATTTCCACTTGCTCCGCAAGCATGTTTATAGTGACCCTTGTGCCATAGAACTTCAAGATCGGCTTGATGACATCGGCATTTGCCAAGACATCTGACCGGTCTATGCACTTGACGTTTGCGACCAAGGCTAGCTTTCCCAGTCCACCCCGGTTCAACAGCACCGGCACAGCCACCCACGAATCCACCACGGGCGACACCATCAAAAGCTAAGCTATAGCTAAGCTACAGGAACCTTAAAGCCAAATTGCTTCTCAAAAACTTTCAGCTTAACAGATGACGAGAGATTGGCCAAGATTCTGAAGTAGAACAACAGGTCAGAGGCACCTCAAAGGATATCGCCTATACCGATCAATGATCAAGGCCTCAGCAGTTTCTCGATATTAGTCACAGGGTGGAAACATGATTAAAAACCAGTGAGGTCTGGGCTTTACAGCTTCACCATCCCCCAGAAGCTGTACCTTGCGCCAGGTGATGCAGACCACAGTGCACCAGCTGGGCTACATCAACACATTTGCCGTCAGGGCGCACCACCTTTCCCTCCAAGAATCCCCCAACCTTTGGAGGAAGTGATTCAAGCCAAATGGCTGCACGAAAAGCAAAAAAAGCTCGAATTGGCAATTTCTGCTCGAGGCAGATTTTTACACTACGAATTGGTATTTAAGCTACCAAGGATTGATTTAAGTAGCGAATCCATGGGTCGCCATAAAATAAAGCTACGTTGGAAGGTCTAGGTTGGTGCAGGTTTTTGAAGCTTGAAAAGGTTTCCACAGACCACCCCTGGGATGGCCGGACAGTGTGACAGTCTCTTCTTTTCACCCAACCATTTTGCGAAGGCCATGTTCCCTTGTGATTTCGCAGCGGCCTTGCTGGCCTTGCAGAACGGTCTTGCGGTGTTCCCCTCCGTTAAGAAGGTGGGATGGGGTGGGTTTGGAGTCTGGAGGGTCTCATAGCCCCTCTGAGGAGCTGGGGATGGGAGAGGTCTTCCCCGCTCCGATCGACCCCGCTCCGCACCAGGCTGCGGCGGACCCCATGAAGGCAGGATTTGATCCTCGCGTTGGGGGGCCCCGAGTGACAGCCCCGAGAGGGTTCCGCAGAAACCGCTTGAAGACCGCACCCGTGACGCGCGACGCACGCGTGAACGCGTCGAACGCGTGAACCGCCGCCGTGACCGTGGTGGTGCTGGGTTCGGTGAGCGAAACCGACTCCTTGGATCGCTCGCAGTCATGCATCCACCATGAATTGGAAGAGGGTCAAAAGCAAGTCATGACCGGAGTTCCAGGTGTCAAACTTCGGTCGCCCGGAGCTCGGCTGGTTTATAACCCAGACACGAAGTCTGGACCCTCCGTTCAGGGACGGCGGTACCCGAATCCTCGGGTCAGGGGTCCGGACCCGAAGCAATTCTCATATGGTTTTGAGGGACCAGTCGGCCTGTTTGGAGCGTTTGGGTAAGAGACACATCCATGTGGCACCCTACCGCTGTGCAAAACAATACAATCCACTTGAGCAGTCGATCGACGCTGAGAGCTGCACCGAGCGAGGCCTTCCAAGAGAAGCTGCTCGAGCTGCCTGAGGTGTCGAACTTTTTCTCCATTTTGTTGCGGACTGGTTGGTGTTGATCTGAACTGCATATAGGTATACAGTCCTATAAAGCAAAAACTTCCAAATCCATCCTAAGTAAAAGCAGGGATGTTATTCTTCTTGTTTCCGGTTCCTTCAGCTTCAATCCAAAGGAATCCAACGACCAACATTCGTCCAACCAATTCGTCTCAGACACGACGCTTGGGATCGGCTGACGGATGCCCTCCGGAGCGAGCGGCGCCCGTTTTGAGGGACCGGTCGGCTGTGAACTCACGGAGCTTGAAGTCCAAGACTATGGACAAGGATCGTTTGTAAGTAACCCGACAAGGAACTTCTCCTTTACTTCAGTGGTGACTATGGGTGTGTTTTAATAGGGAGACCCCCCAACCGATGGGTTTGAGTCTGTTTCCCCTACCAACCACGGTTGGCTGGGAGCTTTCCCTATAATTGAGCTACACAGTCTTTAGACTTCGGATAGTTATGCCGTTGGGGGCCGAAGCTTTGGACGAGGGAGTGTTTGGGATAAAACCGCGGAAAACAACAAAAAAACACCGGACTGTTCACCGTCTTGACATCCGCCGCAGGAAGAGGCGGTGGTTCTGGTGGCCAATGCAGCGACCAAAGAGATTCGCCAGGTGTGCCGTGTCGGGCCGCTATTGGCGGCCGCCAAGCGTGTCGGGTCGTGATGGAATTCTGGATGCGAGCCATGACAACACTCATTGGAAGGAACATGGAAGTGGAACATGAACCCCAAAAGACCAATTTCCCCTACAAACATTGGGGTGAAGTCCACGTCCATGTTAATTCAAGTTTAAGTCTCATTGAAACCCCACTTCTGTGCCTGGACTGTAGAAACTTCACAGTGGAAGTCGTGCGGACCGCCAGAAGAACCTCACACCATTGTTTTTTTGCCAAAACCAGATACAGAAGAAACAACAGGTCAACCCAGGTATATCGTGGAGTGAATTAGCAATGTCATGGACGTATTCAGCTTATGCGGACTGGTTTGGTTGGACTTTGCCCGTCTTCTTCAAACGAAACAGAGGACAACGAACAGGCGGATGTATGGATGAATTCAGATGGAATGGAAAGGATTGGAATGGAATGGGAATGGGAATAGGAAGGGTTGGAATGCAATGGAATGGAATTGGAATTGGAATTTGATGATGGATGGATGGATGGATGGATGGATGGATGGATGGATGGAGGGAGGGACGGACGGACGGACGGACGGACGGACGGACGGATGGATGGATGGATGGATGGACGGATATATAATTCATTAATGATACATTGAGATCAGAGCTGCATTATTGAGTCCTTCCGATGGATCGTGTTTCACGTCCTTCTATTTTATTCTTCTCCCGTGGTGCTTGGTACCTCGGAAACTGAGGCCTCAGCCATCACAGTGGTTTCAGATGGTTTCAGAGTAGATCTCACATGATCTCACTAAACCAAAGATGTCTCTTATTAGTTATTGTTATATACCAGCTTCTTCAAAGTGACCTTTTGAAGGTTCCTAAGTGACCCTTAGGAGGCTGACTGTGACCTCAAACCAGCTTATCAAAAGGTCACTAATGGTCACTATATACATTTACCTTTGGGGGATTCCATATGAACCACCGAATGTGCTTCGGGTCATGTCCAATTTTCTTTTGTACCTCGCTGGTTGGATCAAAAATGGTGCAGAGGAGCGAGGAAAACTGTGTGTGTGTTTATTTTTTCTCAGGGTGCCACTCGACCACATTCGACCCGAGTCCATGTGAGTTTCCGGGAGTGTACTTGAAAGTGCGCCCTGGTATCCCTGGAGTTGACTTGGTCATGCAGCGACGATTACGATCTAGAATCTAGTTTGCTGCAAATGGTCTGTTCAGCGCATCATACAACTGCAGAAGAAACCATAAAGTATCTACAAGAGACCCTCCAGTTCGTACCCTTGGAAAATGGGACATGATATGACCCGAACTAAAAAAACGGGTATGATTTTTTCTCCATGGTCCAATGCTCGGGCCGGCTCCAGGAACAAGAGACCCTACAACCACAAGATCGGTAAAAATACTTTTTCCGATCTTGTGGTCACTCTTTGGTCACAACCACAGGAGCCACAGACTGTAGAGAGTCCTGCAAACTGTACAGAGTCCTGATTTTAAAAATAATCATGTCCGCATGTCATCAAAAAAAGGTCGTGACTTTGACTCCATCGTGGTCCTGTGACTCCATTCAGGGTGTCCAAAAGCCACCTGTTGGAAGGTTCTTGTATTGCAACCCGCAGAGGGTGCATGTGTATAGTCCATTACCATAGGGATCCAAGTACCTTCTCAGAACGTGACTGGAGACACTGTTACGTAATGTAGGTTTGGAGGGTCCAGTCGTACCTTCTGAGAAGGTACGACTGGATCCCCAGGGTTATAGTCCTACCAAGCAAAGTCCCACTCCCGAGAGGAATTGGAAAAGAGGGTGTTTTCTTGGAAGATCTCCTGAGCCATTTGGATCGCCGAACGCGCACGCTTTGGCGCGTGCCGCGAACGCGGAGTGGGATTCTTGCACCCCATTTTTTGGCCAACAAGGAGTACACTCTGACGAACACATCACATGGAAGTGGAAATCGACCACTGTGAAGAGCATACGAACAGGTGGTTGTCCATTTCCATGTTAGTGAGTCGGAGTGTAGTCTCTTGAAAGACTTGCAAAAGCATGCATGCCCCAGGATGCTCCAGACCTGCATTTTGGACTGGCCAGTCATTGACTGAGATGTTTTTGGGGTGAAGATCTAAAGGCCATATGTATTGCCAACGGCACTGACAACGGGACCTATTTTCACACGTTTTTGGACTCCCATGAGGTCTCGGTCATGGTACGGTCTGTTGATACTCCCGTTTGGGCTCCTGGCCCATATCCTCAGGTTCGGTGGTATTCGACCCCCTGGCACCCACCCCAGTCCCACCTTCGAAACGAAGGTACGACTGGAGCCCAAACAGGATAGAGCGTGACTGGGATGTGTTTTTTTCCCAGCTCTTGTGGTCTCGGTGTGGGCCGATGTCTCATCTGGAGTGCCGTGGGGAGGCAGCCGATGAGGAGTTGCATGACGTGTGGTTTGAGAAGATGCCCAGCTTGGAGGCTTTGGCTGAATGGATCCGAATTGGGTTTTTTTGAGCCAAGGAGTCCGGTCGCTCGCACCACGATCATTGATTGATTTATTAGCCCAAATATCCCGAAAAAACGTTGGTTTCACGAAGGACTTTACACTACACAACCAGCAGGTCATTCCCATTTCTTTAAAATCGTTTTGGAAGGCCGGGGATTTAGGTTCTGCTGTTGTTGTAGCACTGATTTTGGAACCCACTACAGTAAGTAGGTAGTTTTAAGTAAACATGTTGTTTCCCCAAAAAGATCACACACTCACCCCGCCCCCATGGAATTTATCCTGTGATGGACAACATATCAC